ACATGGCAGAGTGGGGCGATGGGGGACAGCACAATGGGGGGGCCGTACAGGGCCCCCACGCTGGGTGGGGGCTGCCACTGCTCCTACCACCCCACCCCCCCCCCTGCGGGCCTTTGGAAAGCGGAACGAAAAGGCACGGGGCCCCAAGTTGAGGATGGACCTTTTGGCGCAAAAAGGAGAGACCAACTGACTCTAGGGGTTTTTTTATAGTACGAAAATTTTGGGGCCTCCCTCTCCAGGTTTTGAAAAAAGGGCCACCTTTTTGGGAACGGTAGCGGGGGGTCCAAAAAGGGTTTGGACACCCAAAAAGGGTCACCCCCTCTGCCCTGAGGGTTATTTTTCGGTGTCCGAAACCAAAAGAAAACCGGATGCTTTGGGAAATTTTGTGAAAAGGAAGCGGGGGGACCCCCTGCCCCCATCTCCACAAAAACCTGCCACGGTGCGTTTTGGGCCCTCTGTCTCCTCCTCCTCCCCCCTTCCCAATGTTCCTGCTCCTCCCTCCCTGTCCGCAGTTGGAAAAAAAACCACCCATTTCACCCCAATAATTCCGAGAAACCAATGTCCCTTAACCTCCTCCTCTTCTTCCTGCCCTCCCCCCACGGGGGTATGGGGCGTTGAGATCTGTGCCCCTCTACCCCCCCCGGGCCCAGCCATTGTTAACAGCATTTTTTCCAGGACGGGCAACAGGGGGAATGAGGGGCTTCATCCCATAGTCCCCCCGGGCTCACGAATAGCGGGCCTCCTCAAAGGGCCTGAGAAAATGCGGCAGGTGCCCACGGCATGAGTTTCCCAAATTTGGTAAACATCTAAGTTCCAAAGGGGGAGTCCCTTTACCCCGCATTGTAAATCGGGAAAAACCGGTAAAGGCCCTTTTCCCGGTGTCGAAAAGGCGGTCTAAACAAATGTGGGGGTTAAAATTCCCCCCTTGTTGCAAGTCACACCCAGAGGAGTCGGTACGGGGGCCCATGGCAGATTAAGGGCTGGCCGCACCCAATGTGAGGCCCGTAATTTTCCCAAAGCACCCTATAAAAAAAAAGGAACCCAGCAGCAGTGTGAGGAGCCCCTGAAAGTGGAAAATGAGAGTGGGGCAAAGGGGGATACACCCAAAAAGGGAAAGGCCCGTACAGGGACCCATGACACACTGGGGGACCGGGCCCGGCAGGTTTGTTGAAAAGGCGGTTTCCCGGGGGCCCCCAGGGCCCAGATTGGGGGCCGGGGCACCCAGCTAGGGGGAGGCCTGTAACCCTGCCAGCATCCTAGGGACAAAAGGGAAACCCAAGCAGAGTGAGGAGGACCTGGAAAGTGGCACACTGGCAGATGTCTCTGATGAAGCGGATGTGATGGACAGCATGCAATGGGACGGACCGTACAAGAGACCCATGAAGAGACCTCTGGACTCCCAGCTGCAGCGTATGCTGGTGTGCCGGTACGGGGGCCCTATGGGCAGATTCACGAGGCCTAGGCAGCAGCCAATGGGGTCGCCCGTCATTGGCCAGCAACTATATGGGAAAATGGAACAACCGTAGCATTCTGCAGCGGAGACCTAGAAGTCGGCAAAATGGCAATGAACACACTGTAGAACTAGGCAGTAGGCCTGAGGAGACGGCGGTAAAAGGCCCATGGCACATGTAGAGGTCTGTGGCGATGCAAGCTTTGGGTACGAGTCAGCAAATCTGCCGAGAGGACTTCGATTACAAGAAATGGAACACAGCAGCCAGTGTGAGGACACCGAAAGTGGACCTATACGCTAGACAAGCATGTGACCTTGGCAGCGCTAAGGCGGAGGCTGGTACAGGGGCCCATGGCTATGATTAAATGCCTGAGTCCCAGCTAGCATATGATAGCGATGGCCCGTTAATCTGCCCTGCACCTCTATGAAACATAAAAATGGGAACACAAAGCAGCTAGTTGTGAGGATGTAACTGAACGTGGCACACAAATGGCCAGCCAGTGTGGCGATGGAGACAGGCAGCAATGGGCGAGGCGTCCGCGTACAGTGGAGACCATGAGACAAACTGTGGACCCTAAGGTCACTAGCCAGCGTGAGGAGGCGGGTACGCGTGGGCCCATGGTCAGATTAACAAGCTTGGCTCTGGTCAAGCAGCTATGGGATAGGCCCGTAATAATTTCTGCCAGCACCCTATGACAAAAATGGAAACCCTAGCAGTGTGTGTGAGGAGACCTGAAAGTGGCACATGGCAGAGTGTGGGCGATTTGGAGACAGCAGCAATGGGGAGGCCGTAGTACAGGGGGCACCCCCTGAGACACTGTGGACCTGGCAGCAGCGATGAGGAGGCGGTCCCATCACAGGGGCCCATGGCAGAATTATGGTGGCCTGGCAGCAGCAATGGAGGCCCGTAATCTGCCAGCAAAGGCCTATGACAAAAATTGGAACACCACCAGCGAGTGTGAGGGAGACCTGAAAGTGGCACATGGGCAAGTGTGGCGATGGAGACAGCAGCATGGGAGGCCGCTTACAGGGACCCGTATGAGGTCACCACTGTGGGACCTAGCAGCAGCGGTGACCAGAGGCAGGCGGGATAACAGGGGCCCATGTCCAGATTACAGCCTGGCAATGCAGCTATGGGAAGCCCGTAATCTGCCAGCATCCTATGACAAAAATGGAACCCAGCAGCAGTGTGAAGGAGACCCTGAAAAAGTGGCACATGGCATGACACACTGTGGACCTGGCAGCAGCACCTGAGGAGGCGGGTTAACAAGGGGCCCATGCAGATTAGGGGCCTGGCAGCAGCCTTATGGGAGGCCCGTAATCTGCCAGCAACTCTATGACAAAATGGGAACACACCAGCAGCAGTGTGAGGAGACCTGAAGTGGGCACATGGCATGACATAGGAGACTGCAGCTGGGTGGACCTGGCTGCAGCAGCCATGAGGACCAAAATGGTACGGGGGCCCATGGCAGATTAGGGGCCTGGCAGCAGCTATGGGAGGCCCGTCAAGGGGCGGGGGTGGGGGGGTGGGGTGTGGTGATCTGTTCCAGCACCCTAGGAATGAAAAATGGGGGAACACACCAGCTGTGAGGAGACCGAAAGTGGCACATGATGTGACACACTGCTGGACCTAGCAGCAGCCTTGAGGATGCGGTACAGGGGCCCATGGCTAGATTAGGGGCCTGGCAGCAGCAATGGGAGACAGTCCGTAATCTGCCAGCAACCCTATGACAAAAATTGGAACAGCAGTCCATGTGAGGAGACCTAGCCAGTTTGGCACATGGCAGAGTGTGGCTGGAGACAGCAAGCATGGGAGGCCGTACAGGGACCCATGAGACACTAAACTTCCTGTGGACCAGGCAGCAGCATGAGGAGGTTGGATTGGACAGGGGGCCCATGAGATAATGGGGCCTGGCCGCAGCGAATGTGAGGCCAGACATCTGCCATGGCATCCTATGACAAATGGAACCCAGTACACAGCACTATGAGGACACCTGAAAGTGGAACACATGGGCAGCGTGTGGCATATGGAGACGACCAGCAATGGTGAGGCATATACATGGCATCAGACACACTTTGTGGACCTGGCAGCAGCATGAAAGCTGAGGAGGCCCCGTACAGATTTGGGGCAGCCCATGGCACAATCTAGATTACACAGGGAAACACCTGGCAGCAGTGAATGGAGGGTACCTGAAATTGCCATGGCTTAGCACCCTATGACAAAAAAATGGAGACACACCAGCAGTGTGTGAGAGAGACCTGTACAGTGGCACCCTTGGCAGACACAACTGTGGACCTGGCAAGCAGCATGAGGAGGCGGTACAGGGGCCCATGGCAGATTAGGGCCTGGCAGCAGCAATGGGAGGCCCGTAATCTGCCAGCAACCCCTATGACAAAATGGAACCCACCAGCATGTTGTGAGGAGACCTGAAAGTGGCCACAGGCCGAGTGTGGCGATGGAGACAGCAGCAATGGTGGGAGGCCTGTACAGTGGACCCATGGTCAGACCACTGTGGACCTGGCAAGGCAGCATGAGGAGGCGGTACAGGGGGGGCCCATGGCAGATTAGGGGCCTGGCAGCAGCTATGGGGAGGCCCGTAATCTGCCAGCACCCTATGACAAAATGGAACACCAGCAGTGTGTGAGGAGACCTGAAAGTGGCACATGGCAGAGTGTGGCGATGGAGACAGCAGCAATGGGAGGCCGTACAGGGACCCATGAGACACTGTGGACCTGGCAGCAGCATGAGGAGGCGCGTACAGGGGCCCATGGCAGATTAGAGGGCCTGGCAGCAGCAATGGGAGGCCCGTAATCTGCCAGCACCCATATGACAAAAATGGAACACACCACCAGTGAGTGTGACTGCGAGTGAGACCTGAAAGTGGCACATGGCATGACACACTGTGGACCTGGCTCGCAGCATGAGGAGGCCCGGTACAGGGGCCCATGAGAGATTTAGGGGAGCCTGGCTGCAGCATATGGAGGAGGCGCCGTAATCTGGGCACATGGCACAACTATTACATAAAATGGAACACACCTGCATCTGTGGAGGAGTTACCTGAAAGTGGCACACTGGTCACTGGAGACACTGTGGGACCTGCAGCCCATGTGACGGCAGAGAACCTGAAGGCGGTACAGGGGCCCATGGCAGATTAGGGGCCTGGCAGCCCAGCTAATTGGGAGGCCCGTAATCTGCCGTCACCCTATGACAAATATATGAACACAACCAGCAGTGTGAGGTGACCTGAAAGTGGCACATGGCACATGAGATGTGGCCTGGCAGCAGCAATGAGGAGGCCCCGTACAGGGGCCATGGGCAGCGATTAGGGGCCTGGCACGCAGCAATGGGAGGCTCTGTAATCTGCCAGCAACCTATGACAAAAAATGGAACAATCAGCAGCAGTGTGAGGAGGACCCTGAAAGTGGCTCATGGCAAGACTCCTGTGGCGATGGAGGGACAGCACTGCAATGGGAGGCCGTACAGGGACCCATGACCTGGCAAGCACTGTGGACCCATGCAGCAGCATGAGGAGGCGCGGTACAAGGGGCCATGGAGATTAGGGGCCTGGCAGCAGCTAGCAATGGGAGGCCCGTAAATCTGCCAGCATCCTATGACAAAATGGAACCAGCAGCAGTGTGAGGACACCTGAAAGTGGCACATGGCAGAGTGTGGCGATGGTGACAGCACTATGCACATAAAAATGTAAAACACACCAAGCAGTGTGTGAGGAGGACCTGGAAAGTGCCACATTGCAGAGTGTGGCGACTGGGAGACCAGCTGCAATGGGAGAGGCGTACGGGGACCCATGAGGGACACTGTGGACCTGGGCACGCAGCATGAGGAAGGGCGGTACCCGGGGACCAATGGCAGATTACAGGGCCTGGCAGCAGCATAAATAAAAAAAAAAAATCTGCAAGCACAAAACAAAAAAAAAACAGCAATGGGCGGCCGTAATCTGGCCTGCACTCTATGACAAAATGGAACACACAAGGCAGTGTGAGGAGGGACCTGAAAGTTGGCCACATGGCATGAGACTCTGTGGACCTGGTCTAGCAGCCATGAAAAGGCGGTAAAGGGGCCCATGGCAGATTAGGGG